TTATTTATTTAATTAAATAAATTCATTCGTTTTATTTTATTTTAAAGAAAAAAAAATATTAACCAACACACAAAATGATTTCTTCCAAAATTATTTCAATTGCCACGACATTATATTTGGCTTCATTATTATTTTCAGCTATTTTAGTCAGTTCAGCTAAAATCGAGTGTACTAAAAATACTGCCAGTTTAATTAAAAAATTCAATGTAAGGAAAGATAGATTTGTGGTTTTGCTTGATCATAAAAAAGGGTCAACTGCTTCTTCATCAGATCTTGCCCAACATTTAAAATTTTTTAAAGAATGCTGGGGTATGGATTCTGAACCAGCTTTAAATGGCAAAGTTTCAACCAATAAACTTTCAAAAGATAAACTATCACACTTTTCTGTTGGTGTTCTTAGTGGTTATATTGGTTTTTTTAATCCTCCACTTGCTAAACAAATTAAATTGTTGTTGCCTAACGTTAAGATGGTTCAAAAGGAATCGAAAGTGAAGGCGTTTGCTCCTATAACAACAATTACTCGATCGACTAAATTTTTCGACTTGGATCTTATAGATCAAAGAGATCGTAATTTGGATGGAAAATTCCATTTTCCTAGTCCAGCTGGTCAAGATGTAGATGCATACGTGATTGACACCGGTATAAATAAAAATCAAACAGAATTTGGTGATCGTGTTAGGTTTGGTGCTGTTTTTTGCGCTCCATGTTTGGCAAAAGATGATAATGGCCATGGCACCGCAGTAGCAAGTCTCATTGGTGGTAAAAATTTTGGTGTAGCGGAAAAAGTTAATCTTATAGCAGTTAAAGTACTTGATGCAAACGGTTCTGGAACTAATGTAAATGTTATATTAGGAATGTTGTTTGTGTTAAAGGAAAAGTTAGAAAAAAATAGAAATGTAATTGTTAATATGTCGCTTGGTGGTGGGAAGAATCAATTAATAGACTTGGTGGTTAAAACTCTTACGGATAATGGTGTACATGTCATTGTAGCTGCTGGTAATGAAGGACAAAATGCTTGTGATACCTCACCTGCAGGAGCACCAACAGCAATTACAGCGGGTGCAACTGAAGATACAAGTATGTCAATCACTAGTTTCTCAAATTTTGGATCTTGCGTTGACATTTTTGCTTCTGGTAGAAACGTTCCTGTTCTTTTCAAGGGTAAATCTACATTATCTGGTACAAGTTTCTCATCTCCATTAACTGCCGGTGTTGTTGCTGTAATAATCAGTACTACTGGTAATCTTAGTCCTGAAAAAATGGCTGAAAAAGTAATTTCGGAAAGTACCAAAGATGTTGTTGAAAACCTGCCATCAGGCACACCAAATAGATTCTTATTTCTTCCCCAAATTTAAAATTATTATTATTGGTAGATAAATATATTTACTTATATTTCTTATTTTTATTACTTTTATTTGTTTGGAAAATAATTGTACAATAATTAATTATTATTTGATCGTGTATGTAATTAAAAACAAGTATTTATATATATATATAAATAAATAGTAGTGATCTAATAAAATATTTGAATGCAAATATATCTTTATTTTTTTCGTCTTTATGATGATGGATTTATCTTTTGATATGGTGATTTATTTGACTGATCTATCAAAACTAACATAAACAACATGGCCTTTAAGAAATGTTTCCAATGCTTCAATCCTTTCCTCAGGAGTTCCTTCCTTTTTAAATGGCGCGGTCCTCAATTTATTATGCATTACATTTTTAAGAATCCTTTCTTGTATAAATCCCCATGGTTTAATCGAATCAGCACCTAAAATAATTAATTGTAAAGATGAATACTATGCGATATGTATATATATATATATTATGCAATAATTAACATAATAATTACCAAATAAAAATATGTAAAGTGCTGTCAATCCTCCCCATACAGCAAGTACATTTGAAATAACAGACAGAGCCTTATTGATACAATTGACAAAGTTAATGAAATGATTAATGATAATTATAATGGCAATAATTAATTAATATGCTTACATTTTTATTTCTATATTAAAAAAAAAATCGATGATTATTAGAAATTAAGAATTACTATTTGACCAATTCATCAACCGATTTGATCACTCAATCTACTCACCTTTGTTCAACCTCAGTTTCAAGCAAAAAATTCTGAGGCTGTATGTAGAAATTTGCAAAGCTTGTATTCCCTATCGCTTCAGCAAAACCTAAATAAATTAATTCATTTACTGATTTGTTTATTTGTGCATATTTCATAATAACAATAGAATTTGTATAACTTACGATCATTTGCTACAACATAAGGTTTGTTGGGGTACCTTTGTGGAAGTCCCAAATTATTTAGAAATGAATCTTTTAATATGGTCCTTTGTTTTCTTAATATTCTCAAAACATACGCCTAAAATATATTATTCGTGATTATTTAATAATTAATAATAACATCACTTACATTTATATAGCACCTGAATATGAGAAAGCGGCCACTACATTAAAAAGCGATGGTATCAAACTTGCTAAAGTTGATTGTACAGTAGAAAATGACCTTTGTTCTGAAAAAGGCGTCAAAGGCTATCCAACTTTAAAACTTTTCAAGGATGGAGATGAAACAGAGTATAGTGGTGGTAGAACTTCTGATTCTATTATTAGTTTTATGAAAAAGTATGAAATAATAAAATAACGATTTATTCAAAGTATATTTATTCATTTATAATTAACATGAATCTATTTCTTTTTCCCAAAAATAAACCAATTTCTAGACAAACATTGCCAGCAATTACTGATGTCAATGTGGATAATTTTGAAACTTTCAAAGATTCAGATAATGTTGTTATTATTGGATTCTTTGATAATGATAGCCAAGATGAATTCAACAGTTTTGCAACCCTTGCTGACCGATTACACAATGATTACAGATTTGGAGAAACTGCACAGCCTGAGGTTCTTGCAAAAGCTAATGTCACAGCACCAAGTGTAGTTTTATACAAGAAATTTGATGATCCACAAGTTGTTCTCAAAGGACCATATACAAAAGCAGAATTGGAATTTTTCGTCAAAACCAATTCGATGCCTTTACTTGCAGAGATCGGACCTGAAAATTATGCAACATATGCCGAATCTGGAATACCACTTGCCTACCTATTCTATGAAACTCCAGAGCAACGTAGCGAAATGGGTAAAGAAGTTGAACCTGTGGCCAAAGAATTCAAAGGAAAGGTCAATTTTGTATTCATAAATGCCGGGAAATACGGTCAACATGCGGAAAATCTTAATTTGGAAGCAAAATGGCCAGCTTTTGGAATCCAGAAACCGGATGAAGGACCTAAATTTCCATTCGATCAAAGTAAACCAATCACCTTTGAAAACATTAGGGAGTTTGTTGATAAATTTGTCAAGGGTGAAATTAAACCTAGCATTAAATCTCAACCGATCCCGGAAAATAATACCGAGCCTGTATATGTGTTAGTTGCTGACTCATTTGAAGAAGTTGCTCTTGACAAAAGTAAAGATGTTCTTGTCGAATTTTATGCTCCATGTAAGTATTATATTCGTATAAATATAAATACACACACGCACACACGCACGCACATATTTATTTATTTATTTTATTTATCATTTTAGGGTGTGGACATTGTAAGAAACTTGCACCAATTTATGATGAATTGGGAGAAAAATATGCACAATTCAAAGATAAAATTGTAATTGCAAAAATGGATTCAACAGCAAATGACCTTCCATCCAGTGCTACATTCAAGGTTAGCGGATTTCCAACAATCAAACTTTTTAAAGCTGAGAACAATGAAGTTATCGACTATTCTGGAGATCGATCACTCGAAAACTTTGTTGAATTTTTGAGTAAAGAAGCATTTTATAAAGTTGACGTCAATAAAGTTACTGAACCTGAGCCATCATCTTCATCACCATCTTCATCGTCATCTTCATCATCTTCGACATCATTACCTTCACCACAATTAGAAACACAACATGTGGAATTATAAAAAATAATTAAATCGAGATTATTATTTTATTTTTATTATTTTCGTTATTTTTGTTTTTGGTCAAAGAATATTGTTATTATATATATTTATTAATAATGATAAAAGTATTTTTCTTAATATGTACTTTATCAAAAAAAAAAAAAAAACATTAATAATTATATATAAATAAAAGTTGGGTATGTTTTCTATCAAATTTTTGATGAACCTGGTGGCAAAAAACACCTTTCACCTTGTGATTCTCGATTGTTTCCCCACCATTCCGGAAACGGTATCTATACCATAAAAAACGTAGAGTTGTTAATTAATTAGATTAATTGGCACGATTAGATTGATTAATTCAAGTTAGATTAGTTATGTAATGACCGATTGACTACTTACCTCAACTAAACCACTCAATAAAAAGAAAATAA